TTGGATGTGTAATTACTATTGTAAATATAGCAATTTTATTTGAATTGTATTGAACAAATTTAGTACAGCCTTGAGACATATAAAATACGTGAGTTGCAAGAAAATAGATAAAAATGAATCTTTATTATATATTTACTACTTCTAGATACAAATTAAGATTAAAAATTAAAAGATTTTTGTAAATAACTAAGAATTGTAATTTAAAACTTGTTATATATATGTATATATTAATGTATTTCATACTAGTATACATATCAATTTTTATCAATCTTATTGTTTATTATAAAATTATTGGCTATAATATAATAAAAATAACATGATTTCGTTAATATTAGCATCACTCTTGATTATTTTAATTTTTTATTCGATAAATTATCAATGCTTGTTAAAGAAATATCAACTCCAAAATATGAGAATAATAAAGTAGAAAATGGTAGTTTAAAATCCAAAGAGAATATTATTAGAAAATGTAATTACAACCAAACACACAAACACGTTGATTTTTTTAAAGAGTTTACAGGGCTGCTGATAATCGCAGTTAATCGTAACCATACAGTCACAAAAGCTGAAACTCTTTTGATTTTTTTATATCTTGGCCAACTTTTCAGAGAAAAATTTTTCCGATGGATCTTTCAACACAGAATTAACTCCGCGTTCACCCGCGTAAATATCCGAGCACGATTTCCGTCAAAAATACATGCATGGTTCTTGTATGTTCCTCGATACGAAACTAAAGCAGAAACGTGGAGCGTAGTTGAGTTACATCCGCAAAGCGGTTGTTCCAAATTTATCCCGGCGCGGCGTTGAAATTTTATTCGGAAAGCTACGTGGAGAGAGAAGGAGGTAACGCGTATGCAAGATCCATCTATGATCACAGGCTCTCGTATTTAACAGGACATGTATGTACCTTTAGAATTTTAACTAATATGCTGCAATATGCTTGGATGAATCTCGATGAATAATGCGCGACATCGCACTTATGTGATCGCGATAGATGTTGAAGCGGATGTATGTCCGGCATTGGTAATTATCGCGGCGGCGTGTATTAATTTGACCATACGGAGAGGATACATGAATAAACATGAGGTCGTCGATCATGTAAATCCGCCCGTGGCGATGGTTTTGGGCAGAGCACAGAGAAATACCCGCGCGCTATGCGATTCCCCACGAAGCCGACAACCAGAGAAGGCTTATTTTTAGTGCCGGCTATTTGCAGAGAAAAACGGGATCGATGAGATAAACGCAACACGCGAAAAATTAACGTAAAATATATTTCAAAATTTCGCAAATTATCAAAACTCAAAATAGCCGCTGAAATAAATAAAAGGCAAACGCGAAAACCTACGCCCAAAAATCGACTATGTAATTCTTTTTTAAAAATATTTAAAGTGACAAACTTTCTCATATATTTGTTAAAATTGCAATTATAAAATTTTTTTAAAGAAAAGAAACATCTCAAAGTTTATTTTCTCTATATACAATACACAAATTTTGCATTAAATTAGATTTTTTATTGGTAGAAAAATAATGAGATCGATTGGCAAAACTGTATACCCTCGGAAGGCTACTTCACTCGAACGGTTATCTACAGTCGCCTTATTTATCGGTGCAATATCTATTTACATATATATATATATATATATTAATATATTTTATTGAAGGGGAAATTATAAGGAATTCTGCTGTATTATTGCCAGTCGGCAAAATTGCGCGGATTAATTGCCTTAAAGCCATGTATGAATTATAAGAATTCAAGAGAAGATAATATTGTCTTTTCTCTCTCTCTCTCTCTCTCTCATTAAGAATATTAATATAATAATTGGTAAACTTCTTTAAAATATTTTTTAATGTAGTATAATTGAAATAGAAATTAAATAACTTTAGAGAGATTAGCGTTAATAAAATACACCTTCTACTTGTAATATTAAAAATTAAATTATTTACGATAAAGAAAAATTATTCCATTCATAGTCATTATCACAGTATCAGATTTCTTTAATTAAAAATTGCAATTTAAATAGTTGGATATACTTTTGCGATATTTACTATAAATATTTTAATTTGTGTACAAGGCGTTTTGTTTAATATTTTTTATTTCAAATTTCTTTACGTAAAGTTATTCTTACATTTGAGAAATAGTAGAACTATATTCCCAGAGATGTCAAAATATTTTTAGGAACTTAGACGTATAAAATGAACGATTTGTCGATTAATGTTTAGGATGCTAGTTGCGTTTCTCGAAGTCTCTCTCGGTATCATACGTCGTCGCCTAGTTGATGGGAGGAGCTTATATTGCAATCACCATCGATTATCCTGACGCACGTCGAGCGGCGTGCTGACTCATCACGCTGATAACATCCGACAATTTGGACACGCGCACGATAACTCAACAAGCGTTTCAAATGGCGTTAATGCCAATCGCAATAAGATAGAACGAATACATTCCAAAATATCGTTATTCACACGACCCACCTAGATATAAATTTACATGGCTAATATTAATAAAGCTACAATAATAAGTACAGGAGTTTAGAGAAATATAAAAAAGATATGTTTACATCTTCTTGTAGTAATTTATTATTTTACAAACAGATATTTCGAAGACACATATCAAAAAATTTTCATTGTGTAAAATATGAAAATTCAGCGCATGAATAATTAGCTACGCAAGAAATTCACTACTTTTTTATTAGCTCAGTTTAAAAAATAATTCTCTTTGTAAATAATTTGCGTCAGCTAATTAATGTAATTTTATTTAATGTTATATTTGTTCACTCTGAGTCATATTTATGTTTAAAATTAAGACTAAAAACAATTATTTTTAAGTGTGTACATAAGACATACTGTTACATAATAACATGTAATAATCCTTATATTACATATTATTATATATTATATTAAATGAGCGTAAATTAAAACAATTAATTAAATAAGGGAAAATAAAAGATATTATTTTGTCTGTCAATGTTTCAGCTTGAAGAACAACCCACGTAAACTTTAAAAAATACAATATTATTTTATTCGTGCATATAGACCAATGGCGTGTCTATGCAACCATACGCGAATCGACTTTTCCGATTTTTATTATTTCTTACCTACAACACTGGTCCCTTTATATTGATATATCTCATGGTAAAACGTGAATCGCCCTCTTACTTTTACAAGCGACACTTATGTCGAATAGTAAATAGCAAATGATTTTCATCATGCAGAAAGCGATCGAGGTTCACCATAAAAAATAAAAAAAATCTCCGAAACCACGAAGCGGTTAGAAATAATTAGTGAGCTAGAGAGACGACATTCATCATATCCAACATATTCTCATTATTATGTAACGCCATAATATTTTGAATTGTTTAAATTAGACATTTTAATAACAAAATTAAAATTAAAATGAAGATATAGTAATAAAGATATTAGTACGGCTGCGTTTTTTTTACGTTTCATTCTATCCTTGTTTTACATCTAATGAACCAAAATGACACAATTGTGTAGCATAGCTAATAGCGCATTTCCCGAACGTAGCCTGCTACGTACATCATATTGTCTGTAATATTTCATTATTTATTTTCTTGCTTATCGAGTATGATAAAAATTAAAATAGTTTCGAATTTCTGTTCTGAACATAAACCGCTTCGTGATTGCAGAAGACTCGTTAAAAGTAGTCTTTAATATCGATGCTTATACACTTCACAGCGTTTCAGTCGTCGGAATGGTATCTCGATGCTTTTAAGCGCCATTCCAAAACAGATACTCTCATTATTAAATTAAATATTAAAAAAGAATTTTTTAATATATTTCACCGTAGTTGTCTAAATATATTTTCGGCCTAATGTAACGCATCTATAACATGACTAATAATTTTGCACTTCTTTACTTTTTAATTTCATTTTTTTTTATACTCTTCGTTAAAACTTGACTTTAAAAGTTAAACTTAAAATTATATATGTAATTCACATTGTATCCAAATGTAATCCGTTTGCTAATACATTGAACTTATTCGTTATGGCTATCGATCAATCGCAGACTTGGTATTCCATATTGAGCATATAGCAAGAGAAATTATTTACAAAAAAGGAAAAAAGAGGAATACTGCAGTTTTCTCGTGAATGTAATCGGGTCGATTTGCCATTCGAAAATTTGCGTATCGTTGTCGATACAAATTGAAACACAATTACGTTCAGTCTAGAGATAATTTTCGTTTCGCGGGTTAACAGATGCCTGAAAATTATCGTCTTAGTGGGATTCGCATAAATAGAGCGTAATAATTTCCCATGTAAATTGCTTAGGATTTTGTTCGGCTAAAATTTGGAATATGGATTTGCTTGGTAATTTTCTATTATATTTAAATCAATTTCGATAAAGAAGCGTGCATCGAATGAAAATTGGAAAAATAAATCCCATTTTTTATACACGCTATTCTACTTTAGATGGTATTGTGGTATAATTCTAAATTAATATTGATAGCTCGTGAATTAATTCACGAGCTATCATTATTCTGATTTGGATAATGTACTTGAGTGATAATTTTGTTTGATATAAGATTCAAACATTTTATCGCTCAAGACACGATATGTGTATACTTATCAGTCAAAGATTATCGATCCACGCTTCCTCTCTCACGCACACAACAACACATAGAAATATAACACGCGATATTACGCTGTCACTAGAATTAAATGAATCCACTTTATCGGTTACACCGATTATCTGTTCGATTAAATCTCTGATCAAATCCCGCCGCGGCAATTACCTCCCGCTGATAGATTCATCATTTCTCGTCCCGCGCACAGCCTTTTCTTTCGTCCTTCCGGCGACGACCGATCAAATCTTCCACGGGAGAGAGAAACGAGAGTAAAGAAGGGGAGAGATCAAGATCTCCAACGCTATCTTGGGCCGAAGAAGCCGAGCATTTTCAAGGTGTCGGTGACCCTGCTGATCAATTTATCCCTATAACGCCATATCGTCGTGTCTATCACGCTGTTTTCCCGATATTCCACGCATGTTTTCTTTAGCGATCGTACGCAATCGGCACGATAATGCTGCAACTGCGCATCCTCGGTCTCGATGGGATAACTGGTGCATCCAGCACCCAGGCACGCCAGCGGAAAATGGTTGTGCAGAGTGACCACCCGTTCTGGATTGTGGAAGCACTTGATATATTGATTTGGTTTCGTAAAGTTCTTCGAGCGGTATACGTGTTGGAGCATGTGCATGTACCTACAAGGAAAATTTTTTAATCAAGAATACGTTTCTTGTGGGTTGGAATTTCTTGCAAAAGATAATATTAGTAGAAGACGTATCAGAATTAATTGACTATAAATTCCATTTCATAAATTTAATATAAAGTTGAAAACATTTTTTTCTCATATAGCAAAACTATAACGTTCCAAAGCTAATTATTTCGACCATTTTAATGTTAAAACGAAGATTTGAACATATACTAATCTCAGTACGCATATCGGATATTCTAAAGCTTGTAATCATTACAAAAAGATATAAGAGAAGGACAACAGCTAATAATAAAAATTGATTGATATACATAGATATGTATAGAACACATCGTATGTAAGATTTTCCTCGAGCAACATATTCATTTGATTCATATCTGGAATTTGCTGTTCCATCGCAATTATAATTTTTGTTAATTCGTCGCAAAAACAAATCCATGACACCGATAATCGCGATGATACTTGCGAGATATCCACCTTTGCGTTCCCTTCACGGACGGTCGATCTGTTCGCGGCGTGAAAGTGGAAACCTTACTTACTTGGGTATGTCCTTGAAGTAACCATGAGAGTGCAGTAGGTCGTCGAGGAAGTAGACGTTTCTGACGTTGTACGAGGCACGGGTCTCATTCCGTATTTGCAGGGCCTTGGGCAATACCCGGCGCATCAGCTCTTGCCAGGTCGCGTCCTTCACGGGCATAATCACTTCGTCGACATCCAGCAGTGCGATGTACTCGTACTCATACATGTGCTTGTATAAACAATCGTTGTAGGGTATTAGTTCGTTCTGCCGTTTGTGATTGGTTTTCTTCGTTAAATACATGTGCTGGAAGGCGGGCACATTAGGCTGTCCGCCCGGCAGGGTTAACGGGGTCACGTGCACCATACCCAGACGCTGATAGTGCCGCAACACCTTGGTCACGTTCGGGTGCACCTGCAGCTCGTAGAAGTAGATTTTGTCGGCACCCAGCAGATTGATCAACTCGATCCATTCGACTAGTCGAACCGACAGATCCTCGTGCAGAAAGTCCAGACCCTTTACGCACACCGCAAAGTCTTTTTTACGTTCGGGCTTGTTGTAAATCACACGAAGGTGGTTGGTGGCCGTGTCGCAACGTCTCTCCACTATGGAGACAGATGACGGTGGCTTACCATACGCTTGTGGCGGTACTCTACATGCTATCACATATGGCTGATAGATGCCCTGCTTGTAATTGCCCCATTTAGGATACCAAATGTACTTGTATTCGAGCGTCTCGACGATCTTGGGCTCGCTCTCGCCCTCGTACCATAATTGACAATACGTTTTCACGATCGGTTCAATCCGATCGATCATGCCAACAATCCGGACCGCCGGTCCGATCTTGGATAATTTCCGATTGTCATAAAACGCACCGAAAAATTGAAACGTGCCGTTGTTGGTTCGCAACGTTTGCCAATAGATATTATTAAATTCCAAATCGTAGATCTGCGGGTATTTGGCGCAGCTCTCATTGCCCCGTTTCGTCAATTTACTATTTTTGGACCAATCGCTCAGTGGTAGACTCGGTATTCTCTCAGCAATCTCCTCGATCAATTGCTGCTCGGTTTTAGCCGGTCTCTTGTCCAGTAACGGTTCTAGCTCGAGCGGACTCATCGTCGCTTCCAAATGGTTTCTAAGGGTGGTTAAGGTGGTCAGCAGGACGCCGTTACTGCCAGAATTGGTGAGTTCGCCCAGTGACGACCTTTGCAAAAGATATCGGGACAAACTCAAGCTTCCTGAAGATCCTCGGCTCGCACCTCGATCGTTACTAATGCCATCGACCTCTACCAGGTTACCCATGCCATCCTCAGCCGTGGGGCCACCATCCTGACGTAAAGCCCTGCTTTCCAAGTGACGGAACTGTACTGCCGCAATCATCAGCAGGCCCCAGGCAAACACAAAGACGAAGGCGCGTTTCGCGCATCTTGACGAACTGCCACCGCAACTCTGTATCGTTGTCATCTTGTTGGTTTTCCCGACGTTTCCCGACCAACGACTGGATTACGCTGGACTGCTGAACCTCCGTATTCTCCACCGTGAATTTAATCTGTTCCTCGTTCCGAAGACCGAATCTGAAACAGGAAAGCGTATCGTCCACAAAGGTCGATTGGATCGTAAAACGGTCGACTAATACGACAGAGAGACAGAATTGTGCTAATTATTTTATTATTTGAATGGAAATTATTTATTTCCTTATTGAGATCTTGGAGATACTGATAAAAATTTATTTATATGCAATTAATTTCACTGAAAATTTAATTTGTTACAAAAGTTTTAATTTGTATTATCTAATTTTGAAAATAAAAATTGTGAATAATTAATTAAAAATTATCGTCAATAAATTTAAAATTTTTAATATGCAACAAAAGTCTTTAATACGTATAAATATGTATATGCAACTCTCTCAATGGAAGATAATCTGAATTAAAATTCATATGGAATCTTATTTATTAAATCATCATGATTCTTTTTTTGTTACAATGTTGGGAGTTAAGTCATTCTTTTCAAGAAGTAAAGTGAATGATTTATTCGCGAGTTTAAAGTTTAAAGTGAACGTGACAAAAGATGCGAAGTAATCCATGACTAGTTGATAGAATTTGGGCCAAGAGACGAGATAATGTCTTTAACTGTATAAGGACACCCGCTACCGGTAGCCAGTACTCGACTATCATCAAGAAAGCGAGCGACCCTGTCGGGCAAAACCCCGTTGGCCGGATCGGGCGAGTCTCAGGAGAGCGAGAGAAAACAAGAGAGAGAAGGAGCGTGAAACCCGCTCGCAGATACGTGGAACCGGTTATGCTGATGGCAAACTGTTTTTCACCTTTTGCACCTCGCTCCAACTAACCTCCTCCCTTCCTGACCACCTCGGGCCTTTTGCCCAACGATATGTTTCCCCTCGTCTCTAGTCTCTTCCTTTCCTCTCCCTCTAAACTTAGGCGATGATGGCGGACTCTCAGGATCAAGTTTGATCACAACCTAGGATTTTCCAAGAAGATTTCTACCTCTGCTACGTTTGATTTATTGTAATATTTCTTATATAAAAAGAATACGATATCTAAAAAAGAATTTTTAATTAAAATAATCATTAAATTAAAATTTTTACATCAAATAATTTCATAGTCTACACAATAAAGTTATTTAAGGGATATAAAATATATAATTATATATATGATATATATATATATATATATATACATATATATATAAAATAATGATTATAATTATATAGATGTGCACAAAACTGACAGTAATCTTATGATATATTATTTAAATTCTCGGAAACATTATTAGTCCTTTCAAATTTTCATAACGCAAGATATTGCTAGACGAAAAAATAAAAAGATATAATTTTAAATGTAGAATATAAGAAAATATATATAAGATAAAGTGAAATATACCGTTCCTTCATACATTCATATGCAGTATTATTCAATTTTGAAAATAAAAATTGGATAATATCGCGATGTTCTTACAAACATAATAATTAAACTGGCAATTAATTAATATACGGCATTGAAAGTCTATTAATATTGTAGTATAATCTAATCGTCAAATTTATACACTTTTTGCATAATTTTCGCCCAATGATTTTTTTACAGCAGTATTACACGTAACGTCTCATTTTCTAAACGATAAACAATTGTCCACATTCGAAGGATCATTAATTAACGATGATTTATTTAATCTACCGCCACGTGCTAAGTAACGATAAACGACGTAGCAATCGCATGCGAAAGTGCAACTCGCGTACGTGCGAGCGCGATGCCACCTCATTCCCGTTTAATTCAAGCCCCGTTCTTATCGTCCCGTTCGGAATTAGCAATCCTGCACAACAGCGGACCGGCCGGCCAGAACGCAAATTGCGCGGAACGAACGCGTTTATATCGATTCAGTCGTCATCGTTCAATACAATCCTTCCATTATGTTGAGCCTGTATTTATCAAAAGAGAAATTTGAATCTTTTCTAAAATTTTTCTCTTGTAAGTAGGTATGAAATTTATCAATAATATTTAAATGAGCTTTTTTCAGATACTCAGTATTCTACAGTCTTCAGAAATTTCGGATGACTCTTATTGATCAAGATTTAAGTTAAATTGATTTTCAAAGAATTGATTTTCACATTTACATTGCTTCCTATGTTTTAATTTATACAGAATTCTTGTTGTTATCAAATTTAAAATTATAATAATTTAATAAAAAATATTTAAAAAAAAATTATTAAAATACATATAAAAATAAGTTAATGTTAAACTACGCACATCTTAAAGCTAGACTAGAAGAGACTTTACCATAATTAGACATATCTCGAAATAGTTCAACATTTATTTATGATTAACAGCGAACGGATTTACAAACGATGACGACATGGCCAGCGTTTAAGAGAAAGCAGGTTAATAACAAGCCGAAAATGTGTGTGTACGCAAAGTTTGACTCAATTCCCTCCGGAATCTTCGTTTGAAGAACGAATATTGGCTCTTTGTTCTAAGCGATTGAGAAAAATGGTCTATATAGCAAAATTGTTTCTTATCTCTAATCTCTTTATTGCTCTAGCAGTAATTTTCTTCTTTTTTTTTTTTAAAGTAAAATAATGACAACGATAAAGTTTGAGGTAAAATTAACAATATTAATCGCGATAATTAATCGTGATTACAAATATTTAACATTGTTATTAACTTTAATGTTAAAACAAAATCTTTCTACTAAATCTCTTTAATACAGCTTTCATTAGGTGGACAATGTTAAATAACATAATTACACAATATGCAAAGAGTAAATAGCAGCCTATTTCTCTGTTGTAGCAACCATATCCGTCGCCCTCTTGACCAATACTGCAAATGTTCGATAACACGGCATTCATGTATATCCGCGCGTAAGCTCGAGATCACCGATAAGATTCTATTGGAAAATTAATCCTTTCATGCGTTTAATCACGCTATAATATAATCGCAACGTCGCTAAATAAATATGCATCCTTGTCGCAATCGTGATTACATCTCAAGGTCCTTGATCGAAAAACACACTTGCGGACTTTCGCCTTCCTCGCAACAAACAAAAAAAAAACGTTTGTTTCGCGCGTATAAACGTTTCTCTATACGGTAAAATCTTTGACATGTGTGCGCACCTCCTCGTCGATAATCCTCTATCCGCTTGCGTCAGTTGCTGATAAATTATTCGTCAATGTTGCGTATATACGAGATATATGGTAGCTGAGTCACAGTATCTCGTGGCTAATAACGATTCCGCCAATCTAAACGATTTCATGACTTTTGCAAAAAATATCGATCCGTTGGATTTGATTTGTCTGAATATCAATTACTTTGGGGCAGCCCGGATCAACCCGGTATTTTCGCAGTCGTCATAATAAGTATACGACATGGTAACATTAATTTTCGAAATTCTTACAAAATATTCTAAATGTTATCATTTGCTCATATTATATTTAATTACATTATAGTAAAAAGATATTTTCAGGGGTCAGATAAACTTAAAGATTCATTACGCATGCTCGCATGCAAGATGCATCAGCATTCCGCGTCTTATGTAATTCCATTGCGCCTTCGCGATTTCTTCTTTCATTTACTAACTGCTACGGAGAAAGATGGAGAGAAGTTAAAGAAGTTATCCTACGTCAGGTATCCTACGAAATCGCCGCAGTATTATTAAATTGACAATATAATCGCTGATAGCTTTAGAATGTCGCAAAGTATCGAGGCGATTCAATAATAGTCGGCATACTTTCGATGAATTCAGGCTTCGATACGCGAACAGATACATAAAAATGATTTAATATTATGTTGTCATATAATTAGAGTCTTGCTCTCAATAATAAAAATGTTTAAGCCAAAGTTTTAACTTGTATTTCTATTTACAAATGAAAAATTAAAAATAAACGAAATTTATAAAACAAACTTTATAATATTTAATTATTTTCTCGAGAAATGTAGAAAAAAAGCGCTATTTTTCACGTTTATTTCAAACATGATAATTAATCAAAACTATCGTAAATTCTCTTTTATTGATATACATAGTCTGGAGAATTGAAATCATCGAAATTAGACCGGTTTCAGTGCTCGCTCGTGAGAAAGACAGGAGGAATGACGACATATGCGTGCAGTCCAGCGAGGACGATTTTGTGGAAAGTCGAGTAGAGAGAGCGAGTGATGCTGTTACTGTTGCTACTGCTGGCTCGTACGTTCGCCTGCTCCAATTGCGATTTCTCGCTTACGCGTGCTAATTAACCCTAATTGTACGAGGGGAGGAAGAAAGAGAAAAAAGGAGGGAGGGAGTAATCTATCCAGAGAAGGATAGCTCGTAGCGCGAGTAAAACGGTGGGGATGCTCTATAACGGGCGATTTCACCAGTCTCGTCCCATCGTCGATCTTTGCGATTCGAGAGCGAGATAGCATTCTGTCGTGCAATATCGTCTGCAATTGGTCGTACACAACACTGCACACATACGTGCCGCGTGTATCAAGCACGGCGTGAACTCTTTTGATTCAACGCAGCACACTCTCGTCGGTGCCACGCGGTTCCGGGGCCCGTTTATGTTTTACACAACGACACAGTATGGCACCATGATTACATATTACTTGATATAATAGTAGATATGAGATAGATAACTATAAATACATCGATTAATTGATGCAACATTCGTAATTATCTATACTGCAGTCACAGCACAAATGTGCTTGAGGATATTACGACTGATTCGTTAATAATAATTTCTTTGGACTTAATATCAATTAAATAATTAATAATATTTAAAAATAAGAAGGATATTAAGAATTTATAACTCTATCTTGGAAATTATCATGTAAATAAATTATTATGAAAACAAGTCTTAATTAAATTAAATGAAATTATTTGACAGAAAGATTTATAGATTTTGTTTATTGCAATATTTTTAAAAAATATTTACGCTTTAACGTAACGTATTTGTATTTTGCATTAAAAAAGGCAATAGAAAATATTTTCTATGTATGAAAATGTAAAGTAGGAATATATTACATATTTTTAAAAGATATAATAATAAAATATATGTGCCATGAAATTATTTTTAGAATATTTCAAGAATTCTATTCCATTTTCCATTTTGTTCTAATTTCTCGATATTAAATTTTCTGTTATCTTAGGATTATATTAGTCTTACAATTAGATTATGCAAGATGTAATAAGATATTTGACAATTTATAATTAAAATTAAAATTAATTTAAAATATGTGATTTATTTATTTAATTACAAGATAATTACATGCATTGATACGAACATTTATTGCTAGAGACACAGGGTGGACTCTTTCGGAAAAAAAAAAACATTTCTCTCATCATAGAATCTCATGTATAGAACCATTCAAAAATGAAAGCGATAATACTTTAAAAATGCATTTATAAATCGTCGGATTTAATTCCCCGTGCGAATTTATATATTACTTATGCCGCATACAATTATAATATTAATATTTGCAAAGTTTAAGCAAGTGATTTATGTTATACGTTATGTTATACGTATGTTGTCTGGCTTGAACCGATAAATTTCGCAGAATCCGTTGCATCGTATGATCAGAATAGCAGTAATAGCAACGACTAAAGGTAAAATCAACTAAATATGCATTTGCAGTCTCGGTATATAATTCAGCATCTAAATTTACTGTTGTTTCATATAAAATTTCGTACAAAAATTCGATAGATTTTATGTTGAGAAGTAATTAATAATGTCGGTTATAATTGAATCTGGAGCAATGTGTATATCGAAATTTTGAAAATTTAATACGTACTTGAGTTTAATCAGAACCGATTCTTTCGCGAATGATTTCGATGACTTGAGCCAATATCATTTCATAGAGAGCGAATGTCTATGTGTCTGTTACGTTCGGATGACGATTAATATACCTACTCGAGATGAGAGTATACTTCGATTGTATGAATATTCTTATAGAACTGTTTAAACATATGTTCTTTACCAGATTTCAATATCATAGCAAACAGTTACTCGCGGAATAATTTACTTAATTCTGCAAGAATACTCATGCCTGATTTTGTCATTATACATATAGTTCAAAAACGAATGCTTTAATCCCTTTCCACAGCATTACAGGCACTTATACATACCTGTGCAATGTGACTATAAAACTTACGTTTAAAATCCTTCGATTCTATCAAATATTTGATTTATTCTGGTTTTCTTCACTTTTTGAGCAATTTCTAGGGAACGAATGTCATCGTCTAGTATTACACAATTACTTTTGGCGCGATAACTGTAGAATATTCCACATTATAGGTATGCTTTGCGTTGTATTATCTTTGGTAAGAAATTCTAAAAATAGATTAATAATATTTTGAAAAAAATTAGAAAACTTAATTATACTTTTAAGAAATTAGATTTAAAAAACCAAGTTGATATCCTTATACACATATTTATTTGCTTCGTTTCTTTTATTCTCTATTATATGTTTTTATTACATATTATATTTATATTTTCCGATTTTTCAATCTCTGAAAGTCTCTAAAATTTGCTTTAACCGCGCCCTGGAGGACGTCACGCTCCGATAAGACTTGCTATTCTTAGCTTATATCGCTCTTTTTCTCTTCTTCCTTTTTGTCGACCATACGGTTTGCGCATAAACGCGTAGTTTAGTAAATCACTTTTCGTATTATGCCGTGGCAATTAAGCCGGTTATACGTAAATACTTAACGGCACTGCATTGAATGTCGAAACGAGGCCGTTGTTCCCTACCACAGGAAGCAAATGGCACTTTAAATTGCCGGCCGCACGCACGTCATCATCTCGTCGAGGGATAACTGCACACGATCCTTCTCTCGTGTGGATGCAATCTTGATTCGACCGACATGGGTGCCACTCGGCTTTTATCCGATCGTTTGCGACGAAAGGCGCAAGTCTCAGACGGAGGCAGACGGCGATCGAGCGATCTTTTTTTTTTTCCTATTCACTACACGCGTGAGATTCAAAATACATATCTCTCGTCTGTCTATTTCCCGGCGAAATACTACACAACTTTCGCATTCGAATATCTTTATTTATACTTACTCTTGCTAATATTAATTAAGATTTATATTAGCGTATTTGGGTTTTTTCGGGTAACTTTCGGGTCGCTCAAACAAACGATATTTACATAAAGTTTACGTTGTAGATCTAAGAAATGATAAAAAGATATAAACAATTTATCGTAAATCGTGATATTTTCAAGAGGACTTTCCAAGATGATATCGCTGGCGATAATTCTAGACATGAAAAATTCATTTATATTACATTTCGAAGATTCTTTCGAAGATTCGTGTTAGTCCTCGTACATTGAATGTTGCCATGTACATGGAGACGCAAAGTGCAACATTACGTGACGCATCTGCTGTGCTACGACCGACTTTATCGGGGATGTGATACTTGGATCGTACAACCGTTACCGAGAAGCGAGCCGGGGGTCAAGCTTAGTCGTGCATATTGGTCTTTATACACGTTATTTCTCCCCATGAACAAAGATTACACATTATCTTCAGAAAACGTAATCGAAACAGACACACAATCCGCAATCATTATATATCAAGTATTTATCAAACTGTCGCATCTGTCAGTACATTCTTGTTAAAGAAGATAATATGCAATCTTAATTATAATTGCATATCTTTAAATAAATAAATCCCAGTAAATTAAACTGGTTAGCCTTGGCGAAATTACAAGGTGACAGTGACCTTTCATACTGACCATCATAGTAAATATCGAACATGAATACTAATAAAACTATTTAAAAAGGAAAAGGTTTAAAGTCTCTTAATTTGCAAATGATTTAACGAATTTATTAAAAGTTCCATGTTTGTGTGATTACGCAGATATATTTTAGAATCCAGTTTTAGAAATATTTTAATGATATTGCTATTGAAATGGCATAACATATTTATTTTTAAAGAATCAAAAGCGATTAGCAGCTTGTTTACTCAAATGAAAGAATATAATTTAGAATGCTCTAGAATATTTTGTATTTTATAAATATCAAATATTTCTCTTTGTATTGCTATATGTATTTAGTATACCGTGACTCTTTAATATCATAGCATAAACTGTCCAAATGTTAATAATTCACGCGTTGTTGATGAGTTACAATTACAACAAAGAGTATTACGTCGATATTTACGAACATCAGATGCTATATTATAATTTCCTCGACAGATCATATCTCGCTTGCGCCATAATGCATTATAATATGTTATTGTTGTTATCAACTTGTAACCTGTTTCCTTTGTTCGCACCTAGCGTAAATTATACATAAGAACAGCAATCTGGCGTGCGAAGATCCGCGCTTGTCCTTCGACAGTTGAATTAATTACTCGACTTCCACAAATTAAAAGTAGTAGCGGAACAAATGACGACTAATTAGATATCACTCGATTGACGACGGATTGCAAGTCTCTTAGCATCTCAGAATTAACACGAAAATTTTTAACGAAAACATTAGAACTATTACAATGTTAAGAATAAAAGAAATTGTGACAAAAAACCTTGCTTCGCTATCGACGACTCGCTAAAGAAATATCAAGGCTGTTGTAAAATCTGTCGATTAATATAGTAAAATGCCGATTTACTCCGTGCATTTATCGCGCGTTCTCATTATTCGTCGATAACGAATATTGAATTCTTCGCTCGTTTTTTTTTTTTTTTTTTATTGGCGACATTAAAACCGATTGAATGGGGTCATTAAAGTGTATACTCATGTGATATTCGCCGATCGAATGAGAGCTGCGCGCATTTAGTTCTTCTTCAGGCTTTCACACACTTTCATAATTTGTAGCGTGCGACCGCGATCAACGGTATTCGACGAAATTCTATGCACCAGCACGGACATACGATGAGTGCACAGTTCCCGATTTCTCTGAGAGGAAAAAACGGACGATTGATGTCCTTCATGATCGAATGCATCTTATATTATTTTTGAATCATAAAATGCAATTGATAAGTAATTTATAAGAAATATAAAATTTTTATCTTTATCTATATTATTGATTCTTCGAAGCGCAACAAATTAAATTCAATTATTTAGGCAGTCTTAGAAATATGGATGTATATACAGAATCCGCCAAAGGTAAATCGAGGTCATGATCGCTTTAACGGTAATTTCTTCAGGCAGTCACTTCGTTCACGAAACCTGAACGATCGATACTTAATTGCGTCACGAAAATTTCGTCAATCTCATGGCTACCAGTCATGACATGAATTCCTTGATTAAATAGATTAAATACACATTTCGAATTCCTGTCTTAAACTAATTTTAAATTTATATTTATCAAATACGTAGTTTTACATAAATTTATATCTCTGAAGATTTTTTTATTAATTTTCTAAAGTTTTCGATTATTGATCGAGAAAAAACGATTCCTCAAAAGTCTCGTATAAGAATGAGAGCGAGTATATCATAAATATACATATGTATAGTATTAAGAAACTTAACAAAACTTGAAACTTTTCAATGAGTCTATCAAAAAGTAATATTCCTTCCTATCAGACTAAGTCTCGATACTAGCGGATTCTGATACCGTTATATCAAGCGCTTTGCAGCCATGTGAAATAAAAACTTTAATAATGTTACTCCCCAACGGAATATTACTTTGGTATCGAATCGGTCCAGATTTCAGAGCATACAGATTTAATGATCTCACTAGATGTTTCCACTTACGAGAAATACGGAGAGACGAATCGGCTGTGATCGTGGTGATCGTCAGAGTAGCCTGGTCGATCGCCAGCCGTTCGAACCCGTCCGGATGACGTCCCGGTTCCCGGGTTGCATCTCGCGACACTTGACAACCTCCGCCAGGGGAAGAGGAACAGATCCGCGTCAATACGCCGGCATTCCTCTTCCGTTGACGTATCACGTCATCTCGTAATTTCTTCTATTCTATAGTTCTTATCTTCTTTGGCTGGTCCACCTTGGAATCAGGAAGAACGCATTGGCAATCACTGTATGGTATAACTTTCTTTTCTTCTTCTGAAGCCAAATATTCCAACAACAAAAAAACACGTTAAAGGACAAAACACGAACCGGATGTGCTTTTTTCTCCCGACTGTTTGCACATATACGTATAGAGGATATGCGTGCGTACCGGCTGCTGTGGCTGCCGCCGGATGAATGCGACGTGCCTGAATGGGAAGAACGGAGCTGGAAACAAGCTCGATGTATCTGTAGATCTTACAATTCTCACGATTCTTTGCACATTGATAATCGCCCAAGCATATGCAAATTATCGATCACTGTCACTTGTTCTTTATGAAGATCATAACGATAGTGGTGATGATAACTCGACAGTCTTTAAACCGAATACGATTAATTTTTTGGATTCATCGATCTTTTTCTATCTTGGTGCGTTCCAGTCACCTGATTAAGCTAGACATTTAAAATTCTTTCCTGGAGGCCGGTCGCCGATCGCCGGTCGCCACTCGAAAGGATATATGCAAGGACCTGTTACGCGCACCTCTACATCAGTAACCGGCACATTCTCGCTATATTCTCCAAATCACAACGTTCGGAACGACAACCGTAGTAACGATTTATCTCAGAAAACGGTTTTATTTTATGAAACTGTCTCAATATACAATAACAACAAGAAAAAGTAACGAAAATATAAATTATATTCGGGAGCTCGATAAGTTCGAGACAAAAATACTCGTTGTATGTCGTGTTGGCGTCTCGCTCCGAACTGCCGCCAGACGCCAGACGAAGTCTTCGACTAGGGGGCCGTTCGAGAATTGAGAGGGGAGCTCGAAGAGAGAGAGAGAGAGAGAGAGAGAGAGAGAGAGAGAGAGAGAGAGAGAGAGAGAGAGAGGTGGTCGATTGGTCAACTTACATGACTCTGATGGGAAGGGAGATTCCTCCGGGACCCAAGAGTATTAGGGAACATATGGGAAGTCACAAGGGAGCAGCGGCTACACTGATTCAAAGAAGAGGCAATGTCTTTGTCATGGCAGACAGACATCCGTACATGCGACTTTAGCTCTACATACATAATCAAGTCGCTACAGTAATACAATAGACGTAAAAATATATTAAAAACACAATTTTTACACTCCTCCAGTAATGAGAAAAGATAAAACATAATTTTTAGCGATTTAACATCTATTTTTGTATCTATTTTTAACATTATAAATGTTAAAAACACATGAAAGTACTCTATATCATCTGAAAAGCTATTATCTCCGTGTATCTATCTATTGTATCTATTTTTTACTATTATAATGGAAGTACTCTATATCAACTAAAAAGGTACGCGGTTTGCGGACTATTTCTGTGTTTTAAAATATCGTAAAATGCCTTTAACGATGTTTCAAGGCACAGAGATAAGCTGCAAACTGTGTAGGTTTTCTGAAGAAAATAAATACCTCAATACTTTTCAGGTATTTTTTACCTCAAAAGTATTAGCTATGTATCATATGTGAAAGCTTCAAAGTATTGTCTATATTTATATATCATCTATATTATTGAAGAGTTACGGTTAGTAACGGTTTTTTTTTTCAAGAATCTCATTTACTATTCTATCAATTCTTGTGAGATATCAAGTCTGAATGATTAAAGAAACTCTTTGAATCTACAACCGGATGCAATAATTAGCAATATTCTTTCACGCGCGTGCGCGCGCGTGTGTGTATGTGTGTGTATGTACGATTGAGTGAAAAATATGTATTGAACCAAAAAAGGAGGATTCACGAATGAGTTTTATTGAGTCAAAAATAAGATTAGATATTATAGACATAAAATACAAGGTCATCTGTTAATATGAACTTCGTCACTGTAGATAACGTTTGATTATTTGTAGAAATGACGAGATTTGCACAAAAACACACCTTAACTTGTCAATATACACTTTATAATAAATAGATTTATAAAAATATAATTTACAAATTGAATTAATTACTTTACTTAAAAGAAAAGAAATCATTAATGTTAAATCTAAATATTTGAAAAATAAAATTCTTTTTTATAATCTTATAATTTATAATCTTATGATTAAAAACTGAAAATTAATTTATTACTGTTATTTGATTTTTATTGGTTTGGACGTGATAGGACAGGACATTTCGACGTGTTCACTATCTGAAAAATTTATCTTGAAGGGGAAGCTGATATCAGGTCCCTAGGACGCGTAAAGCTAGCGCTAGACTATGCGCTAGCTAAACTTAAACTATCGAAACCTCGATAATTTGTAGAATTTTTTTACTTTATTTAATCATTAAAATATACGCTATTAAAGAGTTATATGAGATGATTAAGGAACGCTCTTATAATTTTTTATTATTAATGTAATAAAAATTGTTGCTTTAAAGCGAATTTTTTGTATGTAAAATTACATTTGCGTGTCAGATTTTCAATTGCGCGGCCCATGGATCTTTTGTTGATGAAAAATGATAGGATATATCTTATAGGTAAGGTCTTCCTAACGAAAGAAACAATAGAGTGCACGTGGTTCGCAAGCGAAGCCTGCAACTGGGACATGGCTGTCACGATCATCATTACAGACAATAATCGTTTCAAGGGATTTCCTCGATATTAGTAACCGACATCAGCAACGTTGAATATTTTCTCTTCAATATTAACTGTCAGCACAATGTTCCATAAAACGTATCATTTCGATTTTTCCATTAATTTAAATTTGAAATTGAAAAGTCATTATACTGAAAGTCATTGTATGTCATGTTTCCTAATTCTTAAATTATATTATTAATATTTTACGTATTATTTAATTATTGCGCTTTGCATTATAATATAAAAATATTATTATTACGTTTTGCAGTGCAGATAAAAGATTAACTGATACGATAACAAATCCGTATGGGTACTTGAGAGATCGCGGCGAGCGAGAACGAACGATTGTATTGTATCTTTAAATCATAACAGCTGGCATAAAGTATCTAATTTTAATTTGTAAACCTGTACATTATATTTATACTATCTTATATATCAAAGATTACCATAATTTTTTTTTACTTAAATGGAGCAAGTTACTTTACAAGTATAAATTGTCTTGAAACTTTTACAACAATATTACTATTCAGTTACTAGTTCAATATTACTAATCAGTTTTAATATATGTATATAGCAATTAAAAATATAACAAATTTTCATATTTATATTATTTTTCATATTTAAATACGCTATTGCATGATGACTACGTTATTAGCGTAAGTCGATAAGCAGATTAGAAGCCTAACGGTTTCAATAATCATTCGTCAGCAAATAAATTCTCCATTTTCCCCATTATACTGATTGTATTGCTCTAACAACAGTTTTATATTGCAAAATATTAACAAGCGGTGAGCAAAATATGTAATTATTCGCGCTCTGTTACGATCGTCTCAAAGACTCCGTTCGATTCCGTAATCTGAGAAAGATGCTTTTATATGTGAAGAGTCACGAAAGAATACTATTACAATGCACCAGCCTAAGAAATGAAGGATTTATAAAAGTAGACAATAAATTTAATTTTAAGAAATCGCACCATTGGTTTCGTCACATTTTAGATGTCTCAGTATTTCGTTTCAATTATGTATTCTCAATAAAATAATAAAAATAGAATAAACGAAATAGCATGATATTGCATTTATATATATATATATATATAATATATAATAGATGCATCATTCATTGTTTCGTCTATTATTCTATGCTATTGCTACTAAAAATGGATAAATTTATAAGTTTCTGCTATAATAAATGATATACAATATAAATTAGAAAATATTTTCTATAAATTAACACGATGCTTGCATTGCTCTCTCTTATGCTATTGTATATATATTCTTATGTAACACTTCGAAAACATTATGATCAACACACACAGGACACGAATATCACGTTACGAGATGTAGCGATAAAGCTTTGTTTAAACCGCACTTTTATGCAAGCTGAAATATAGATAAAATTTGCAATATGCATCATATCGACAACATATCGATATCGCTTTTGCACACAAATTCGTCTATCTTTTTTAACATTTATGTTTCCTAATAAAAAATTCTGTCCAATGATGTTATATGACTATTAAATAATAGATCGCGACGCGGAAATTTAATTAAGAGTACAATAGACACTGAAGTTCAAATCGAGTATGCGGTATAAAAGTGGTGGCGCGTGTAAAAGTAAGATACTTTTCCATAGTGTAAGAAACGAAAGTTTTACACTACAACGCCAGCGGCGTCGTAACTTTGCGATTTAAGGACCGTAAATATCGCGGCTAAATTTAGATTGGGATAAATCACGCGCGCAGTTGCGTCGTAAAAAACATGCGTTTAAAAATATAATATGTATTTGCTAATGCACGTAATTTTACGCAATTAACAAGAGCTGTTATAGCTCTTGATTAATTGCCAATAACTGAAGATAATGATATAACTTAGATATATCGCATGTCATTTTGTAGAATAATTTATAGAACAATCAAACATATTATTGCGTTTGCATAAAAAAATTTTATTTGACTTGTGTAATTTGGCTTATGTTCCATTTTTGGAGGTGTCAAGCCTTACTTAAGTCCAGTATACGACAGCACAAGAGAGAATATTGCAAGTTAATTTATGGACAATATTTTCTAATTTATCTTGTGTCATTTTATAGTAGACTTGAAATTTATATTATACATTCATCCGTTTCTACTAGCAATAGGACAGAATAATAGACGAAACAATGAATAATGCATTTATTATCCAATGTTCTGGCAAATTACTAAAGTAATTTTTACATAAATTAATTGAAAGAAAGTGTTTAAAGTGTTTAACATATTTCTATTGTAAAATTGTAATATATCTAATAATTATTTTGATTCTGGGTTTTTAATAATTTATATAATTATTTAACGTCAAAAATAAATATTATATATGTGTCTTCTATCCAAAATATCTATCTAAAATAAAGTGGAAGCCACTTATAAGAATCGTAAATATATAATATTTGAAAAAAAAAAATTGAAAACAAAGATAATTTATAAAGATAAAGAAAATACTTTAAATTATTTTGATATTATCGTTTTAAAAGTAATTAACACCAGTTTGTTTTCACATTCAATCTTTGAACATGTTAGAATTGAAATCCGGTGAAAGTTCAGAAAGCTCGAATAGAAACAATGGCATTATACTTATTTGTGATTATCACATCGTTTAAGCCGCGATCTAGAATAATTTTCTGATCGCCCGTCAGAAATTGATCTTGATTTATAACCCTTTGATCTGATTCTACAACATTTTTCGATTAGCTAATCGTTTATCATTACCGTTAATTCGACCGATTTACCATCGTCATTAATCGCGCAATTTTGCACGAGTTGTCGATCATACTGCGATTGCACCTCCGTTTATCCGAACGAATCGATCGCAACCGCAACCCGATGTTCGCATTTTGCAGAAATTCCTTACGGTGCATTTCAACGTATCCGAGAAAAGGCAATTTGAAATCAAGAATTTTTTTGCATAATTTATATAAATGCAATATTTGTGAGAAAATTAACCAAGTTATTCAGAAAAGTAGTTCCTCAAACAAATGGCCTCGGAATTGTCAATACAACTGTTACTTAGCATGATGTCATTTCACGTTTTTTGCAAGTATTATTAAGTCTTGTTCATAGTGTGCGCATAATGACTGTCTACGGATAGATTTTATCTTCATAATATGCGAATCTCTCAACATGTCCTTGCGAAATTCCTTGCGAAGAACCTTTAACTAAGATTTTTAT